TCTCTTACTTTAATGTAAAAGGCATTGCTGCGGGTTTGATTTTCTCTATCATCAATAGAAGAATTCTACATCTTATTTTGAAAACACAAGTTCCTCAGTAGGCAGAGGAATAGGTTTGCCCTTCTAAGCAAGCTGGGGATTAGTTCCCAAGCAAAGTAAAATTACCATTTCAAGAGAATTGGTGTCAGTAAGAATCACTCTGATAATAAGCCAGAAATTTGTCTACATGAAACTAGGGACCACTCTGCTTTCCAGTCTTTAGTAAGACTGAGACAGATTATAAAATAATAGGCATAATATAATCATGTGATCTACTTTCTCTTGTTTCTTCCTTTGTAAAAATTCCAGCCTCTTATAATTGGAACTCTCTGCTTATCATATACCTCATTTCACCTAGCTAACTACTATTTGTCTGCTGGGTTTTAGGAGTAATCTAATAAATAGCACCCTTCCTCATCTTCACTCATATATAGAATTTAAGAAACAAAACAACCAAGCAAAGGGAAAAAAAGAGAGAGAAAGATCAAGAAACAGACTCTTAATTATAGAGAACAAACTGATGGTTACCAGAAAGGAGGGGGTAGAGCAATATGGAAGGGAATGGGGGATGTGTTAAAAAGTTAATAGGGGGGGATCCCTGGGTGGCTCAGCGGTTTGGCGCCGGCCTTTGGCCCGGGGCACGATCCTGGAGTCCCAGGATGGAGTCCCACGTCGGGCTCCCGGCATGGAGCCTGCTTCTCCCTCCTCCTGTGTCTCTGCCTCTCTCTCTCTCTCTATGTCTATCGTGAATAAATAAATAAATCTTTTTAAAAAAAGTTAATAGGGATTCAGGAATGCACATGTCATGATGAGCACCAGGTGATGTATGGAAATCCACCTAGAACTAATGTGTATTGTATATTGATGAATATTGTATACCTAGAACTAATATAACACTCTATATGAACTAACTGCTTTAAAAAAAAATATTTACTCCAGATGGACTTAAAAAAACCCAAACACGGGATCCCTGGGTGGCACAGCAGTTTGGCGCCTGCCTTTGGCCCAGGGCGAGATCCTGGAGACCCGGGATCGAATCCTACGTTCGGCTCCCGGTGCATGGAGCCTGCTTCTCTCTCTGCCTGTGTCTCTGCCTTTCTCTCTCTCTGTGTGACTATCATAAATAAATAAAAATTAAAAAAAAAACCCAAACACTTAGATGAAAGTGTTTATGAAAATAAATGATCATAAGAAAAAAGAAAAGAAAATATGTGATAATGAATTGTTTGGCTATATATGAGTGGGGTATCTTTCAGTCTGTACAGTCTTATGTTGCCTATGATGTATATCACATCCTGATTTCATGATTATTCAATAAGAAATTTTTTTTCTTACTACCTTTGTGGGGAGATTTTCTGGGTTTAGAACATTTTTGCTTGTTTTTATTTGTTTGTTTTAGTTTATTTTCCCAACATTATCACTCATCTGCCACATTATCACTAGGTTCACTATTGTTTAGAGGAGATATGGATAGTATCAAAGACCAGAAATGTCTTGGGAAAAAAAAATATTTCTTCATGTACCAGTGAAGTAGGGAAGAAGTATTCTTTTAACATCATCCTTAAAGATTCAGGCATCACATCCACAAAATAAAGTTAGATATCCCTCAGATATATAGCATAGATCCTGAAAGTATCCTGAAGAGATTTTTCTCAACATTATTGAAATATGATGAAATCATGTATTTATTTGTCTTTCATGTCTGTGAGCTACATAGGGGAAAGTAATGTGTACTGAGTCCAGTGCCTGCACCTGTAGAGTTTGATACTTGGTCATGGAAATAATAAGCATATAAAATAAATGATTTCATTTTCACAATGCATTTTTCATATATTCTGAATACATAGATATTTTTGTGTGTAGTAACTTGTGTTACTTTTCATTTATTTTCAAGCATAAGAAAGTTAAATATCAATAAAATTTCAATTACTAAAAGTCACAAATCTAAACATGATAAATTGAAAATATTCCAGTTATATCCATGTATATAATATATAAATGCATATGTTTCTGAATTCAAATCTGTATATATAAAGTAATTATTGTGACTATCAAATTATAGAAACTTAATGCAAAAACAATATACAAAATTTATATAGTCACAAAATAACAATTTTCCATATAAGACAACCATGAGGAAAAAAAAATGGGATGCCTGGGTGGCTCAGCAGTTAAGCATCTGCCTTCACGCTCAAGGCATGATCCTGGAGTCCCAGGATCGGGTCCCACCTCGGACTCCCTGCATGGAGCCTGCTTCCCCATCCACCTAGGTCTCTGTCTCTGTCTCTGTCTCTGTCTCTCTCTCTCTCTCTCTGTGTCTCTCATGAATAAATAAAGTTTAAAAAAAAAAGAAATCATGGTCCATAAAATGATACAGTTCAGTGTCTTTTCAAATTATCTAGTAGGGTAATAGTGGGGTATATTTATAGGAAGAAGTCCTGTTAAACCTTTATAGGAGGGATCCCTGGGTGGCGCAGTGGTTTGGCGCCTGCCTTTGGCCCAGGGCACGATACTGGAGACCCGGGATCGAATCCCACGTCGGGCTCCCGGTGCATGGAGCCTGTTTCTCCCTCTGCCTGTGTCTCTGCCTCTCTCTCTCTCTCTCTCTCTCTCTCTCTGTGACTATCATAAATAAATTAAAAAAATAAATAAATAAACCTTTATAGGAAACAAATTAATAAAGTTGCCTATAGGGGAGGAAAAATAATTTTTCCTCTACCCTTCTAGGATCTTGGCTGAGACTCCCCTGTAGTAAAAGAGATTAATGGGAGAAAAACAAACCGAAGTTTAATAACATGTACACCTCCTGTATATATGGGTGATACCCAGGAAAACTAACTCTCCAATATGGCCCAAGGCACCACCTTAAATACCTTCACCAACAAAAGATAAAAGGAGATGTTGGGAGTGGGGGCCAGTTTTGGGAGGCTGTCAAGAAAAGCACAGTAAATAAGGGTAAGCTTGTTAGGCAGATTTAAGTTGTTGCCTTCTTCATTAAATTTCTAGAGCTTTAGTCCTCCTCCTCTTCCAGTTACAAAGATGGAAACATTCTTACAAATAGAGATTTTCCATATAAATGTAAGTGTTCCTTAGGAAAAGGTAGGTATCTAAATACACAGTTTTCAGAGCTATTCCTCTATCTGCTGTTTCTTAAAAAACAAGCAGCTCAAGATAATCCTTATGCCAAAGAGGCATATTTTGGGGGCAAATTCTGTTCACCTTCATGCCTAAAAGATTAATTTAAATTATCATTTCTCTAATTATTTATACTTAATTTTCATCTCTTTTGAAATTCTAAAAACACTATATACAGATTTAACAAGTGACATGGACATGTTTAAAAGAATTTCCCAAAGCTGCAAAATCTTAAATATTTTATAAACATTTTAATATAGAAATATAAGACCATAGATATTTAAATATTAAATTTTTGCCTATATTAAATGTTAATTTTTTAGAATTGTTATCACAGGTTTTAGCTGTTGCAAATTTTTATTTAGTGCATAGACTTGCTGGTTTCTTCAAACCATACATAATGTAATTAATAATTTAAACTTCTTATACTCTTTGGGTAGCCAATATTTTTCAGGAGATTGCTCTAATGCTTTTGTTCTTATTCAGTCTCTTGTTCCAGTATGCAGGGGAAACTAATAAACCTCACCGTTTTAATTTTATTTTAACTATAAGATTGATTGTGTTTTATTGGTTTTTAATGTACAACATAAAAAAATCAGTATTACAATGTTTGGAGATTGGATGTGAATGCACACTTTATAAATATTTTTGAAGCATATTATATATTCCTGTTCTCATTAATAGTCATTATTAAAGTGGAAAATATTTGGAAGATATTCTAGGATTTCATAGTGCTATTTGTAAAAATAAGTTATACTCCAGGGATATCAGTGTAATAAAAATACTGAACAATATCTTGGAAACTGGCCGCCTTGTTGCTATTTTCTCTAATTTATTTAAATAGGCCTTATTCATTAAAGAGCCAAATAGTGAATCCTGTTTTTAGCAGAAGTTTTACTTCAAATGGAGATCTTTAGCATAGCTGAATTATCATTGAGAGAACCAAATTTCAAAAATCCTGGATTAGAATCATGGCAGGGTATATAGTAAGTGCAGGGACTTATTTAGATGTGACCTTGAAGGACAATTTCCTTCTCAGCAAATTGGCACAATGATATCCATTCACCCTATCTCATATAGGCTTACAATTCATTGTCCAAAGTGCTCTTCAGTGTCATCATTTGGTCAGTTGATGTACCAATATAAGCAGTAGTGGTAGGCTAATATGATCTACGTATAGATTTGGCCGAATGCAGCAAATTTGTTTCAGGTAACTTCCTAATTTTAAAAGTTCATTGATACTTCCTCCTATCTTTTACTTCTAGTGACATAATTTTTCTGACATAAAATGTGACTAATAAATGTGATCACATGTATATATTGGGAAAATTTAGATTTCCTAGTATTTCTTTGATACAAACTATTGATATTTTCCTTGGTTATTAGATTTCAAACATTTTCCTCCATCCAACAATAAAAATCAGTTCCATAGTTTACACTGAATCAAAAGAGGAATTTTCTTACCTTTTCTAATTACTGCACAATTATCAGCACTCATTATGTGATGTGTGTCTTGTAAGAATTATTGTTAACTGCCTCAAATGAGTGACTACAGAAGAAAGCAATTATCTAAAGTCTGCATTTGGTATCAGCCTAATATTTAGGAGGAAATACACATTTTTAAGAGAGATCTACACTTTTTGATTTTTTGAAAAGTCAAGCAATAAAAATGGCCTACCTTGTCAGTGTTTTACTCAGATTTGAATTAAAATTTATTGAAGAAAGATACAGTGATAAAAGCAAATGTTCTATCATTTATTAATTATATTTAAAATTTACATGAACCTATTAAGGACATTGCGTAATGCTTCCACTTTATGCTTTAAACAATTACAAACATTTGGCATAAAATAATGTGCATATCAATGTAACAAGTTTGAAAAGAGGGAAATGAGGATCAGAAGTCTGACTTCCTTCTAACAATGATCATTAACACTCCAAATGAATGGATCATAGATTTTTCTCCCAAAATCCTAAGATTTTTTTTGTTTGTCTGCTTTTCATGAACAAAATTCTAAAGGACGTTAACATGCAATGGATATATATAACATTCAGAATAACTAGCTTCCATGCTTACACTGAACTCAACATGAGGCAAAAGCCCATAATTGTACTGATTCTTTGGCTCAGTGTGTTTAAAAAGCAAAGCAATGTGGTAAGCCTAATGAAAACAATCCTTTGTGTTTGCCAGCTTCAGATTGCTAATATGGTTGCAATAAAATTCAACCATCCTCACTGATGACATATGCAGCTTTGATTAACAGAACGGTTTGTTTTCTGAATGCAAGGAGCAGGCATTAATCTGTTTCTCTAATTGTCCTCATAGTTTAGAAAATGAGGAAGAAACGTGTTTGTTTTAATAAAACGTCTTTCTGCCTCCTAGAATGACCACATCTGATTAGGAAAATAGTAAGCCAATCAGATTCTATCAGATTAAATATCGTATCTTCGACCTCTTTGATATTGCCACAAACTATAAAACAATGGAGTTGTAGTCACGAAATTATCCATGTCACAAATACTGGTCTTTCCTTTTAATTGCTCAAGAAAAACAAGCCTTTGGTAACTTTAGTTATTGTATGCTACAATACAAAACAAATTACCAATAACCGTTCCTGAACTAATATACGGCCAGACATTGTTCCCATAGCAGTTTGATGTTTATTTCGATTCCTATTAATTCTTTGATCTTCTACCTCTTTTGACAGCAGTAGGTAAATCTACAGAAATCCTTGTTCTTGAAGAATTTTCATCTCAGGAAGTTCTCATTCTTGCCCTCTGATATAAAAATAACCACTCCAGCAAATAAAATCTCTCCAAATAAAAATAAGTCAAGGTTGCTTGATGACTACCACACAGGCACCTGCTCTCCCAATATTCAAAGAAGCCATCTGTTGAAAAAAAAATGAAACACAATTTAAGACAAATCTTTTGTCATAGAAAAGTATACAAATTGTAATATATTTAAAACACTCATATGTGTGAAAATCATAAGTATATGTGCTTACATTTTCCCAGTTTAGTCACAAGTAGTTCAATAAAAATGGAAACATTGAAAATGCCTTTTACAAAAGAGCAATAATTTGCATATTGAAATTGTTAAAACTTGCAATCATTTTTGGAATTTTTAATACAAGTATTAAATATTTAATGATGTAAAGATGAGATAGAAAAGTTTCCAGCAAATATTTATTTCTGGGTTTGCATGGACATATTTGTGATGATATTTCATAGTAGTATCTTGGAGTCTATTTTAGGTGAAATAGCTATTACACTTACTGAAATCATCTTGAACTTATTTCCCCAGATATTATACTGAATTAAATGTGTTATTCATTCATTCTAAACAGAGATATACAATGAAGTAACTTCAATATTTTGTCTTAATAGGCCATAATTACAATTGCTACAGTGCTTATTAAAAAATTTCACCTTATGATAATCATTGAGATGAGAATTGAGATTTTTAAAATAGTTCCTGAATATGAAATTGGCTAGAAATATATTAAAAACAATAATTTTTATAGTCTGTAATGAAAATTTATTCCATGGAGGTAAGCCAAGATTTTAATAATTTGAGCATTTTGATATGAATGATTTTTATTACAGTTCTCTAAGAATAATTTATGCACATATGATATCAGAGTAGGGTAGAAATCACAATGTATTATTCCAAACTGAAAAGAAAGTGAATAAAATGTAAGAAATAAGACAGGCAAGACCAAAATAACACCTCATATTACATATATTATCTTATTAATTGAGAAAAGACATGGTCTCACTCTCTAAATATGAAAATTACCACTTGTATAATTCTTTTAAATGTGCTTACTGTTATCTGCCATCCCTTTGCAGGGTAAAAAGAGAGAGAAAAAAAAAACCCAGCAACTTCCCATATATTTTTGTATTCATTTGCTTTAAGAAGAATTTTTATGGATCACCACATCACCTTTATAATCCCATCATGTATTGTTATCGTTGTAGGATATCATTCACATAGAATGAAATAAATGTCAGGAAACAATATATAAATCAATATATCCAATGTATGTGACTCCAAAATGTACACACTTTCCATTGTCTCTCTTTTAGTTTCCAATGATTTTTGAGTGTTGTTTCACATAAAAGTCACCTAAGGAACTTTTACAAAGTATATGTGCTCATGCCTCACCACTCAATAGGTATGAGTTGAATATTGGGTAGTTGTATTTTTGAAAATTTTCCCAAATACCCTCTAATATTCATTCAATACTGAGAAATCCTGCACATAGTTTCTAGACAGAGTATAGAGTGAATTGCTTTACTTTATGCCTATATCTACATCCATACATATCTCTCTAAACATGCATGAGTGTGTTTGTAAAAATGAATCTCTGTCCTGTTTTCCAGAAATGTACTATTCCTCCCATGTACCAGTGTCAGGTAATGATACCACTCTCAGTTGCTCAAGATAGAAACCAAAAGTACATCCATGACCTAATTTAGTTCTGCCTCATCGACCTTACATCTGAATAATCATCAAGTCTTACAAGTGTTTCTCTATTGAACATGATTATACCCACTCGGGTAGCCGAGTATGCCACTGCAAGATATGCCACTTTGGCATATTGATAATTTTGAATTAAAGGTACTTGATAGGTGACTGAGATAGGAGGGACTCTCTGACCCAGTCCCACTGAAAGCAGGAGATAAGTCTCCTATATGAAAGGTAACCTCCCTGTAGCAGGAGGGTAGAAGGCATCCTTATCGCCAGAGATAGAGAATTTAGAGCCAAAGAGCTGTATCAATAAAACCTGTTACTTCTTCAGCGATTTTCTGCCACAAGCTCAAATCCTTGTCAGTTTATCACAAATTTATCATTTTGTCTAAAAGGTATGAAGCTTCCTGCTTTGGCCACCTCTTTGAGAGTCCTATTTTTATGAGGTTCTTATATGTACAAAAGTACATTTTTCTCCCATTAATCTGCCTTAGATCAATTTAATTATTAGACCAAGCAAATTATCTAGAAGGAAGAAGGGAAGAGTTTTCCATCCCTTCAGTGGATTGGTAAAATATCCTCCTAGCAGATTTCTCTGACGCTAATCTTGCTTGCTCCTAGTGATTTTTCATATCATATCAAGTGCAATCATTTTAAAACATAATTCTGATTATTTACTTTCCCTGCTTAAAACCCTTCACTAACTCCCCTCAGCCATCTAGTTAAGTCAAGACTCTATAACATGGCTTCTGGCCCTGCATAATATGGACCCAGTTTGTCTCCAAATGCCTTGCTCACCACTTTATTTTTTGCCTGTTACATGTTCTTCCTGCAGTTCTTTAAAAATTTGTTCCTCAAACCAAACCACTCCCCTCATTTGGTTAACTATTACCCACTGTCAGGTCTCATTCTACATGTCATTTCCTGAGGGGAGATTTCTCTACCCAACACACTTAGTTTCTATCACAATGCTAAGTTTTTCTCTTACCATAGGAATTTATCATGCTATTTTTAGCATTTGATATATTCTACATAAATACATTTTAAATATTTAAGAGAGCTTTTCTGCTTTCCCCTTTGCTCTAACTTCATCTTATTTAATACATATTTTAAAAGAAATCTGCTATGCTATTCCTTCAAGTTATACCTTCAGCCCTAGAGTGACAAGCTAAAAAGTTGGCCACAGAACCAATTGGAAAAAAAGAAATGGAGAATGTAGATGCCTCATCAGGCTCCCCTAGAACTTATTCTCAGTATCTTCTACAGTAGCGCCTCCTTGAAGGGGGGATATGTTTCAAGACCCTTAGTGGATGACTGAAACCATGGATGGTACCAAACCCATTAATATACTCTTTCCCTATACATCCATACCTAGGATAAAGTTCAATTTACAAATCAAGTACCATAAGAGATTAATAACAATAGCAAATAATAAAATAGAATAATTATAACAATATACTGTAATAAGTTATGTGAATGTGGCCTCTCTTCTTGTGATGATGCTACATGATAAAATACATAATGAGATGAAATGAGATGTCAGCATTGCGACATAGCATTAGGCTACTACTAAACTTCTGATAATACATCAGAAGGAGAGTCACCTGCTTCTTTTTTTTTATTTTTTTTTATTTTTTTTTTAGAGTCACCTGCTTCTAAACTGTAGTAGACCATTGTTAACTGAAACCATGGAAAGCAAAACTGCAGATAAGAGGATACTACCATATATCTATTTTGTTGCAAAAAAACTAAACCTGTGCACAGCAGAGCAAAATGAGTTGCAACAGTAATTCTCAACTACTTAATTTAAGAAATATTTACATTATCTTTTAACCCATGCCAATAACTATGTTAGTCTTTTGGGGAGATGATAGTAAATCACACAGTATTCTTCTTTAGAGCTGCAGGTGGATGCAGTACTATAACAATGTACCAAGACAACACATGAGAGAGTGGTTTTACCCAGACCAGAGGAATGGAATAAAGTTCTTTTTTTATGTCTTGAAGTACACATATTGTTTTTTTTTCAAATAAAATAGAAGAAACTACACGCAGTGTTAAGTGACAAAGTTAAATTTATTAAAATACATACACACACCATATATGTATGTATGTATGTATGTGTTCTCAATAAAATGATCTAAGACACGAATCTGGCAATTTCTCCTAAATCTGTCATTATTATTTCCTATTAGCTAACTTCAGAAGTGTTACAAATATACATGTATATATGAACAAATATATATGTTCACCTATTTGGGAATGCCAATGATAAATAGGATAGCCTGTTGGTTTTGTCCATTTATGGTATAAATGGAGAGAAAGTGACAGGCATTATCCAGCCATATGGGATTTCTTTCTTAGGGAGCTAGAATTCTGAAAATTTTCAAAGGGATTTTGTGTGGGTCTGCAGATAGTTTCTGGAAAGTGTTAAAAATATAAATAATGAAAATATATGGACATAGGGACTCCTGGATGCCTCAGTGGTTGAGCACCTGCCTTAGGCTCTTAGTGTCTTCGTGGGTCCAGGGATCAAGTTCTGCATCAGACACCCCACAGGGAACCTGCTTCTCCCTCTGCCTATGTCTCTGCCTCTCTCCCTGTGTCTCTCATAAATAAGTAAATAAAATCTAAAAAAAAAGTGGCACATTTAAAATGTATGTCATTACACTAGTACATTTCCTCAGGAAATCCACAGTCATTAATCCATGCAGTATTTCTTTGTAAACACTAAGAACTCAGAAACAGAAGAGGTTAAAATATATTCTCTCAAATTTGTGCAATAATTACAGGTTAATTTGTGCAGGTTTCTTTTATATTTGTTGCTCTATGGATGAAGAATGCTTCTTACAATTAAAATAAAATTTAGAAAAACACATGACCTAGCTCTCCAAATACTTCCCCTTCTTTCATTCATTCTGCCTTCTTTTTTACTTTTGGCCAAATTCATCTATCTTCATTGAAATCAAAGAGTTTTCTCTTAGAAAGTGTAAGATTCATAAGGCAGGCACATTAGTATGGACATTAGGAATTTAGTTTTATACTTCAGAGTCAGCCTATCTCAATATTGTGGTTGATTAGATAAGATAAAAACTGGCACAATCAAGGAAGTTATGTGTCTTTAAAAATAAGTATCTCTAAAAGAAATTTACTTCAATCACTGTTCAAGTTCTTCAGATAAACTTTAGTCAAGTTCTATGACTTCCTCTGCCCCACTGGCATATAGAACCCTCTATTGACTGAGGAATATTATGAGATTAAGATTCCTATTCTGCTTCAATTAAATAAGGCTTTGGGCTCTCACTGCATCCCTTGGTGGAAGTGGTTTATTTGTTTGTTGGAATGGTATCTTGCTTTTAGGTTTCTGATAAAGTGGAGGAATAATAGAAATATTGAGACGTTTGGAAATGAAAGAAGTAAAATAGGAAGAAGTTGAATATAAGGACACAAGTCTGAGAATATATCTGTTTCCTCCATTATAAATGAGGTCAAAGTAGATATACAGAATGAGGTATTTTCCTTTGTCATTAAGTTGCACTGCACTCATTTTCCACAGGCACCCACATACAACACAGGTCCTCTAGCTGTGTGACCAGAATGGGAGCTGCCTTATCCTAGCATGATCCTGAGTCTCTAAGTGTACAATGTATCAAGAGATAACACCTCACATAAGGGAAGCCAATTATTTCACTCCATATTCCTGGCCAAAGTGATTGTCTGAGAGTGAGTACTTTCTACATGACAGATCATTTAGAGCCTTGCTGTTTTGTTTTTGTTTCTTAATTGACAAAGAGGTGTTTTGTTTCTGTTTTGTTTTGTTTTTGCTTTTCTGTTTATGGTTGTTGGGACTACTATTTAGAGCTTCCAGCAGCTCCACTCCATGGAAAATAATCTGTGCAGTAGGTAGCAATGGACCTAATAAAGATAGTCAAGCAAAAATAGGAGCCACAAAGTTGTTTTATGTAGATTTCCATCTTCTTATTCTAGTTAACTCCAAAACCAAATATTCTAAAGTTAGGTTTTTGTGAACCAGTATATTATACATTGGGTTTTTGTTTGTTTCAGCTAATTAAAATTCAGTTCCTGCCCCTTATTATTACTCATAATAAAGCTGAAATCCCAAAGAAGGATGTATATCACCTTTTAATATGAATTTTATTAAAGTATAGAATACATAAAAGTACACAAAAACGTGATATAGTTAACATTTTACAAAATGAACATGACAATGGGCTAAATCAATCATTTTGGGTTCAAGGAAGTTTAGAAGGAAGTAAATGAAATAAATTCTTGTTTTTGAAGTAAATTATGCTGGCAACAGACTTACCTGTGTCCACTCATTTGTTTGTGGATCGTAGGATTCCATAGTGTTGAGGTAAGTCTGCCCATCATAGCCACCAACGGCATACAGTCTGTCACCAAGGAGACAGACTCCAACAGCATCTCTGGGCATACTCAAAGGAGCCACCATGGTCCATGTGTCTGTTTTGGGATCATATCTAAAATGTAAGGATAATAGGACATAACATATTCTAATCACATTCTGCTTTTTACTATATGAATGATACTTTTTCAGAAGCACACCATGAAAAACAAAACTCCTTTTTTTTTTTTCTAAAAGCTCAATTATTGGAGCAGATGTTTAAGAGTTAATATCCACAATGTCTGGCTTTCTGAATTTTAATGTATTTTAAAAATACACCTAGACTCTTAGATGGATGCACAGTCACTTAAAAAAATGAACCTCATGATTTCTTTCCACAAGGAAGGCAGATATGTAAATAACTGTTTTCCACTGCAAAATAAGGTTCTGTAAAGTAAATATAAGCAAAATGCTATGGTAGTGAAATAGAAGTAATGGTGAAAAATCTGGGATAATTATGAAATTCTCCACCGTTGAAGTTGCTTTTAAATCAGGTCTGAAGGTATAGCCTAAATTTATTAGAAAGAGGAAGGGACATTTATGTAAAAGAACTGAAGTGTTAATAAAAATGCATGGCCAGCTTTGAGGAAAGCAGGTGTTTTAGGGTGGCTAAGTTCAGTGATACAGAAGGACCAGAGTGTCTGAAAGGGTGATTTTGGATCAGCTTAGGTTTGGGTTATGGGTGTGAAGGGGTTTTGTGTTTCAACAAGAAAACTTGGCAAAAATAATTACAACATGAAAAGAACTGTGCTCTAGTGGTGTTATTTGGGATTCACTGTAAGGAAGAAATTGGTAAATCAAGAGGTTGAAGCAGGGGGCCCAAGTTATTATTACTGAATTTAAGCCAAAAATAATTTAATTTCCAGAACGTCTGACTACCATACATTACATATGGATATTTTGTATTTTGAGTGGCAAAAGCCTGAAGAATACTTTTGTAAATGTACTTTATTTCAGCTAAGAATGAATGATTAAACCACTTTGCCTTTCACCTGTACCTGCAAGGTCAGATACAGAAATGAAAAAGCTAGTAAGAGCCCAGCAGAATAAATATAAAAGAAGTCTGGGTGAAAGTTTAGGTTTGTTTTGTGTGTGTGTGTGTGTGTGTGTGTGTGTGTAACAGATATAGCAAATATATTTTTAGTTTGTTTTTCTACTCCAATCTTGTGTTTTACCAATTGAAACTTTCAACCCACAGCCTCCTAAAACAAAGAAACAAACATAAACAAACCTAAAATAAAAACAAAAAGCCACCTGTCTGTTTATTGAAAATAAAGAAGGTTGTTACAAAAGAAATGGTTGGGAAGCCCCCAAGGATCTGAGATTTATATTTCTCTATATTTATGTTATCCAAGGTGTTACATGCATTTACATGCCATGTTTGGAGAGATTGTGACAGCCAAGATAATCTACATGAAATGAGAGATTGGTTGAATGCCTGCAAAACCAGGACCACCTTGAAAGTATGCTTGTCCAGAGAATAAAAATGTAATTTTACTTGCTATAGTTAATAAATGTAAAACATCACAAATAAAACAGATATATAGAAACACACAGAAACACAATCTATGCCATCAAAACCTTTATTTAAACTTACCATGAAAAATATAAACTTAACCATGAACAATTTGAAATATAAAAGATTTTTTAAAATAAGGGCAAAATAAAGAAGAAGAGGGGGAGGAAGAGGAACCAGAGGAGGAGGAGGAAAGAAGATACCTCAAGAAATCAAATAGTGGAATCCAGAGAGTGAAATGTTTTATAGAATAACTGGCTGAATTCTCCAAGTCAATAGCAAAACGAACAAACAAAACCCCCAATAATAATGAACAAATGCTTAGGAAGAAATAGCTATTCTAAATGAATTATGATTAAACATAACAAAAGAAAAGTGAGTGGATTTTATTTGGATCCCAATTCAAATAGACCAATTATTAAAAGATGTTTGAGACATTTTAAAAATTTTAATATAACCTGCGCATTAGATTTTAATAAGGAATTATTGAAGTTCTTATTAGTTCTGAGAATAGCATTGTTGTTACGTGTAAAAAATAAAAGCTCTGATCATTTTTGGTTGGCTGTTTCTGGGATAAATTCAGGAATATTTTGAGCTAAAATGACATGGTTGAGAAATTCTTTGAAATACTTCAAAAAAAAAAAAAGAGAGAGAGAGTAAGAAGGGAAATGGATAAAACAAGAATGACACACTGGTGATAGTTGTTGAAGCCAGGTAATGAGTACAGGGAAGTATATTGTATTGTTTACTTTTTTGTCAGGAACGATCTGTAGTAAAAAAAAAACTTTAAAAGTAAGAATGTATAATACACTTTAATTTCAATGAAAAGCAAACATTCTTTACACTTTATTCATTCTTCAGTAAAATCTAGGCTAGCTTTTGTCACAATCACTTCACTTAAATAGCTTTTTCTGAAGTCATATTTTATCCCTCATTTAATTGCTATCCAGATCTCTAGAATTTTTTTCAACTAATGTCAGCAAAGCAGACTTCATCACTTTGCAAAAAAGTAGAACTGAGAAAACAGCCAAAACTAGTGCATGAAGCAATAATACATGAATTTCTGAAGATCTGTGAAATTTCAAGTGAAACCCAAATACTGAACAATTCTCAAATACTCATATTCCAGGGGGACATAAGAAAACGCTAGTATGTCTTATATTTAGGTACACATTTAGAAATAATATCCTACACTTAGAAATAGATATCACTGTTTTATATATATATATTTTACAAAATTCCTGAAGGGAACTTTAAAAATTTAATGCATTCTAGAAAATCCAGATCTTTGGATTAGATGTATCTGTTTTCAAATCTATGTAATACATTTTTTCTTATAATAAACTTTTAATTCATATCTGGAAATGATAAAAATTTAAATTTAAATTTGTATATTGCAATCCAAAAAAATGAAGGCAAAACAAAGCCAAAACAATCCAACTCCTCCCCACCTATCACACACTTTCTGCTAGATACTTAGGAAATAATTAACAGAAATACAAAATTACCTACTAGTCATTATCCTTGTTTTCACATTAATGACTTTAAATTGATTTTTCTATATTCAGAACTCTTTATGGGGATATGGAAGACTGTTATGCCCATAAATGAAATAAATAGCTTTTCTAACCTTAGAAGTTCTACAGATGTATATCCATTTTCCAAATGATTATTAACAATGAACTCTGTCATTGTCAGTTAATATTTTCGATGAAACTCAGTCCTAACCATTATTTTTTCTCTGGTTCTTGATTTTTTTATTATTTTTTTAAAGAAAAAAGTGGCAGGGATGGTGGGGGAAATGGAGTGGCTGTCTTTTTTTGTATTTAAGCTGTCTGCTTTTCCTACATCTCACCTTGGCCTTCGTGGTCAGAATGTTGAGTTCTGTATCAGGGACTCTATTAAAGTTTACAGCCCTTGGTCAAGAGAAGCACCAATATATAGAGGCTAAAATTGGCTGTAAAATGAAAACTTGCTGAAGGCATGTGAGAGTCACAGAACAAAAAGTAGTGTCGCATTGAAAATTCCCATTGAAATTTTTGATGTACCATTAATTTTTTAAGCCTCACTTTTCCCCATTATTTAAGGATAAAAATTAACCTTAAAATATTTAAAGGGAAACTCTTTTTAAGTATGAAAGCATTAATCATTGGGAACAAATAGAATCATTTTCCCAAATGTATAAGCAATATTCAGCTAGAAAGCAAATTAAGCAGCATAGAAGTGATTTGTAGCCAGGTTTGTTTGCCTGTAAAACAAAATAAAGCAAACAAGAAAGGAGAGAAATAAGGAAAGATAAGATACATGCTGTTAAAATAGATCAACAGCTCTGAAAAAGTGACTTTTAGGTTTCTAGTAAATAGATTATACAATCTATGTTTGAATTTTCATAATTATTTGAATTAAGCAATTAAGAATGACAATAACACTGGTCAAAATAAATTTTATTTTTCCTGTAAAGAAAACCAACATCTCTCTATCAGGTCTCATGAGATTATCAAAACAAATGTACCTTGACTTCAGAAATGTTTGCATGACAGGGATGGAAAATAAATTTATTCAATAAAATGTATTTTAAAAAACTCCAGAATAACCATAAAATGTTTCTATGAACATCCTTGTTCAAAGATTTTCATATATATGCATATCTAATGGGTATTTAGGAATAGAATGTCTGGGCCCAAGAGAATATGTTTTTTTGTGTATGTTTTTGTTTGTTTGTTTGTTTTTTGAGAATACGTATTTTGAAATGTGGTGATACTACCTATTGGTATTTCAGAGTCTGGGCCAGTTTACATTTGTATCATTGAGAGTAATGAGAGTTACAGTTGCTCTACATCTTCTCCAAAATTTGGTATTAACTGTTTTCATATTAGCCTTTCTAATAGGTCCTGGTATGCCATTGTGTTTTTAATTTTCATTTGACTAATGACATCAAGCGTCTTTCCCAATACTCATCTTTTCAAGAGTTATTGTTCAAATATTCTGCCATTTTTTTCTAATGTTTTTAAGTTCTTTTAAAAATTATTTCTAGAATTCAGTTATTGGAAACAAAGCCTTCATTGGTTATATGCTTTGCAAATAGTTTTCCCACTCTCTGGCATAAATCTTTACTCTTTGTGCTGTCTTTTGAAGAGGGATTTTTTATTCATTTTTTTTTAAAGTAATCCTGATCTACAATGTGGGGCTTGAACTCATGACCTCAAGATCGAGAGTTGCATGTTCTGCTAACTGAGCCAGCAGGCACCCTTGAGAAAGAACATTTTAACAGTAATATTTCTCTTTATGGATGACTCTTTCCACATCCAGTTTAAGTAATCTTTCACATCCCTATAATTGTGAAGATAGCCCCCTCTGTTATATTCTAAAAGCTTTGTTTCATATTAACTAAAATCCATCTTGAATTGATTTTTGGTGTGATATGAAAGAGCAGCTATAACTATTTTTTTCCACAGGAAATGTGCTTTTTTGACTGTGCGATAAATCAAGACCCCTTTAAGTATGATGCTATTTCTGAACACATATCTGTTTTGTCTACTTGTTTGGACTAGGCCAATGCC